CCCGACGAGGGTGGTCGGTGAGTCATCGAGGCCGGAGAATTCGTGTCGGGTCACGAACACGATGGTACACTATGAACCGCGAGCGCGAGATAAACGAGCCGCCGCTCGTTTCCATTTTACGTTTCAGACGACGCGATTATCCGCGAGATAATTTGCCCCGAAGCGGGCGGGTAATTATTTGCCCGAGTATCGTACACAGGAATATACCTCGGACAGAAATTTGCCCGACCCCGAAGAAACGCAATTAATTCCTAACGGATTTTTTGCTCGACGCTTTATTTCCGGATCACTTGACCGCGAACCATCGCGACGTTGCGACGTCGCGACACTTTTGACGTTTAATGCGACAGCCTCGGACCGTCCCCGCTGTCTCCGTTCCAAGCGGATCTCGCGCGCGTCTCCGAATGACGGTTAATTTCGTTCGTTTTTGATCGCGTGCATCCACGGAACGGAGTAAATAAATTGACGCGGATGCCGGGCCGCCGGCAGACACTGAATTTCTAATGAAAAGCTAATCTGCGCGCGCTCCCGTGCCTAATGAACCCTTGATTAGAATGGAACGCCGCGCCATCTAACGAATGGATGATTAAAGTCAGCCGCGATATCTAACGAATATGCATCGCGCCGTGCAACGAGCGACTGATTACGATGATAGGATACGCCGCCGCAGCTCGTAGTCGCGTGCGAACGGAGACCGGCAACGCGAATCGAACGACCGTCACGGAAACGATACCGAAGATCGCCGGGCGGCTTCACCGGAACTCGTCTTTCCTTGGAAAATTCGCGTCGAATATAAACGAGCTCACTTCATCGACATTCCCTGATTTTCGAACGGTGACGAAAATGAAAATAATTGCGCCGAATATGGGGCAATTAATATGTACGCTGGCACCGTGTTTCCCTTCCGATTACGGCCGGGAATGACAAACACGACGGTTTGCATTAATTAACCGAACAAACACGCCAGTTTTCCATGGTTTTCGGATCGTTTACCGCGTCGAACTTGGATCGCTTCTGCTATTACCGCATGGGACGCGATCGAACGAATCATCGACCCTTGAAATTAATATGCGCGTAAACGCGCGGCGGCGGGATCGAATAATTTTTACGCGGAAAAACATTCCGACGTCGCGTCGAATGTCACATGCGAGTTTTTCGCGCTCGTACCGGGGCGTCGAGAAGATCTGCTTGATTCTGTCGTCTTTATCGGATCCGTTGTGAGATCTGAGCACGACGTACACCGTCGCGTTGCGAAAAGAGCGTAGAATCTTCTCGATCAACGCTGTCCCCACGTCGCTGGTCACACCGGTGAGGAGGAGCTCGCGGTTCGCGTACCACTCGCGCAGAGCCATACTCATTGACTGACCGATCAGAAAAGAAAGCGACTACAGTGCGCCACGTCGCAGCCAGCTAGCTGCCGGCGAGTTTAACGAGATCTAATGCCGCGCCGTGGCATTCTAAAGCAGCGTCCAGGAAGGGGATCGCGGAACGATGGTGCTCGCCCGGTCGGCGTGTTGCGAAACCGAGGAAATTTCGTGGCCGGCGCACGGGAAAGTTCCCGGCTGACAAATTGGGGATACCGCGGAGCTTCGATACCTACTTCCGATAAAAATCCCAAGTTTCGACGAGGCTGAATTAGAGTAATTCATTTTCGACGAGAGTGAATTAAACGGACTATTCAAACTAGACCGCGGAGGTAAAAGTTCCGCTCCGGGCAATCTGTCCGCCAATTTGCCGCATCGACGAGTGTCCTCGAGCTATCCCGGAAGAACCGGCGGCGACTCGTTTACCGGTCAAGCTACTCGAAACCCCGGAGGTTCCCCGGAATTTTCACATTCCGGGCTAATAACAAAACTTCCGGCTTTTCCAATACTACATCGGACATATTCGATCCGATTGGGCATCGGTGGTTCGAGATGTTCCCCCCTTCGCGGGTCCTGGTTAAAACGCGGTGCGTCGACGACGCCGGCGTTGTCGCGGTCCGACCTACTACGTCTCGAACGAGAACTGCTCTTGATCTCGCGCGCAGACATACCGCAGTCGTTCGGAACATCTTCATGTAAATGAGAGTGCCGGTATGGTTACCAAGATTGCGAACAGCGCGGCGTTTGCACGGAATCGAACCCAACCGCGGGACGAAGCGTTTCAACGTCAGGCGTTACGCGTTTATACACTTGCAAACGTCTCTAACGTATAGCTGATAGCGAGCTTCGCGGCATTATCGTTCCAGATGGAGGCTGTACGCGCTTTCGCCCCGTGGAAACTGCAGAGAGCTGCGGAACGCACCCTGAAACTCTGTTCCTGCGAACACGCCGGATAACAAGCTACTTGGGACAATTGGCTGCCGCGAATAACAACATAATAGCACCGGTTTTCCTTTCTCGGCGCAATCTCTCGTTCCCCAAAGAGCAGCTGTCACGCGAGAACTGACCTTTACACCTTTCTTCGCTCGTTGACGGAACATTCGTCTGAAATCGCGCTGCGGTGCGCAGTTCGACGCGATGCCATGTTACACGCGGCATACGAAGTTCGATGATATAATTCCAAACCGTTGCCACGAAAAACGTGACAGTAGTGGTATACATATAACTAGTTAATGTCGCGTCAACAATGGGGACGACCCGCACAAAGTTATAAATATTAAACAGTCAGTTACATAGAATTTGTTCAACAACGCACTTTGTTCGTTAAATAACTCCGTGGAAATGCAACAATCATTAATTTGCATTCATGGAACGGAACGAGCGGCGGGCGCGCGGACTCGTCGGGCCGCGTTCAACGAATCGACGTCGTGACGTCGAATAATTCGAAATGCCGCGACTGGAACACGAGAACCGTCGGGTTTTTTTGGCGTATCCGGCTAGTCGACGCGCGATTTTTCTGTAACGTTTCCGTCTCTGTATGCCGACCGCTTTCGCCGAGCCCCGGCTGTATTTCCATCCATGAATATGTGCATTTTTTTAAACGCGCGTGTTTCGCCGCGTAGCAGGTTGTTCGCGGTTGTTCGAGGCTCGCGCCGCTGGTTAAAAGCGTACATTGTTTGCGGAAACCGCGCAGCTGCCGGACCAGAAGACGCGCCGGCGTTTCGCGTACGTCGGCTTAACGGGGCGCGTCGATGCCTATCTTTCGATCGATGCCGATGTTTCGTATATACCCTGCGTCGCGGGTCCGTTTCGACCGAGTCACTCGCGGACGACGTTTCTTCGCGTGTCCCTGTGAAGGGGCATTTAACCCTTTGAACTCTGTGGGCTCCAATATTGCACCAGTTATAATATTGAATATTTCAATGAATCAAAGAAACTACCCTAAAATTATTAGATTTTCCACGCATCCAAATTTTGTACTGAGAACGAAAATAAAAGATTGAAAGAATGTTATAGCATTCTTCATTTTCACTACAGATACTATAAAAATTAGTTGCAGTTGCTGATAGATTACGATACCATCTGGAGTGCTAAAGGTTAACCCTTTGCACTCGAGAGGCGAGTCTCATTTGCCATTTAATTAAATACGCCGGAATGATGAACATTAAAATTCAATATTCAGTTTTGTATTAGGTATCAATACATGAAACTTAGAAACAGATTACCTCTAATACTTAGTTTATATAAGATTTGTAAAGGAATTATTATACAACATAAAACGAAGGGCTTTCTGACCTAGAAAAAATGCAGGAACGAGTAAATCCTTGTATAACTAAACAGAATATTATTCATTTCATTAAAATTGATTGCAGCATGAATATGACCGTCAACTCTTTATTTGTATCCCACTTCGTATTCAGTTTAATTTGCGACTTCGTTTACGCGAATCAAATAACAAAAGCGGTCGAAACCGAAGGGCGAGTGAACGTGCCCCGTTGTCACACTTGTCCCTTCAGAGCTAAGGACATCTGAAGAAACCGTCGTCTGTGGACGATACACGTGTAAGTGGAGTCCCTTTCCATATCGACGAATCGAATGCCGTTTCCACGTCGCGGCGCGAATACGAAATCACGTTCCGTCTGCTTCAACGGCGAAACCGAACGAAGCTGTGGAAGGTTTCACAAAGAATCACGGTACGTAGAACACATATTTGATAGACGCACGCGCCGCCGATTATGAATGGGACGATACTCGTTATAGAACTGGGGACGCGCTCTAGAATCGCTGTCGCAATTACCGTAAGCGGTTTTAGGATTTGCAATTCCGATGGCGCGCCCGACTCGACATCGATCGCTGCTTAATAGAACGTTGCTATCCGAGCGCGGGCCGAGCGAGGTACGAAAACTGGGAAGAGCGGTCGAAATAAGTGGGCGAACGCTCGAGCAGGAAACGTCACGGCCGTGTAAACCGACCGAATCGAGAAAAGAATTCAGCGGTCGATGGTAATTGACAACTGGACGCAACGTCGACGCGTGCGTTAAATTCGAAAATTCAGACACAGCCTCGGGTAGCGCACCGTATATCCAGCGGTACGAAAACAACGAGAAATCGGCGGGATAAATTTTCCAGTGTTTTCAGCGCGGAACGCGCGAGCCGTGATTCACGCCGACTATTACGTAAGTTACCCGATGCAACGTGCACGTAAGTTAATTATCGGGAATTAATAAGCGCGTCGATGCGACGCGAAATTACCGGGAAAATGATGTAAAAGAGAAAATATCGTAACCGAGCGAAACGACGTTCAGCTGGATCCGTTGTAAAGGCGGAACTCTGATTTACAGGGAAACGAGCGGACGTTTTCAGGTGCAATTTCATACCGTAATCACGTTCTAAATCGCAGTTTCCACGGTTACGCATATATTTTCGGAAAAATAACTGACCGGCCTTGACAGGCCAATCACCGCCGGTCTACGTTAGACATTTCCGCGTCAAACGCGAACGCGGAGAATCGTGGGAAACGAACGCGCGACTACACAGGTTGAGCACAGCGTAGCAAAAATATCTCGCGTTGCACGCGAAATTAGAATTTTAAATCCCGGCCGAGCGTAGCACTTCGGGGAGGGAACTTTTTACAAATTATTAACCCCGCGTCAACTGCGGGGATGCAATTACGGGACGCGCGATAATAAACAACGGGTAGGGGGGGGGACGCATCGCGTTTCAATCGAACCGACGCAATCCTGCCGCGCCGGTACTGTCGATTACGCAACTCGTTCCAGGTCGAATCGAAAGTGTTGATCGTTACTCCCGCAGTGTTCGCGTGCCACCGCGTGCGGCAGGACGCCGATCTATCGACAGAAACAGGAAACTCCTAATCGTTTCGACTGAAATACCGTTTTTTTCCGGGCCATAGAACACCGCGACTCTCTAATCGCCGGAGATCACGGAACAGAGAGGTTACCGATATACTAATCCGTTCCCCACTTCTCCGGTTTCTTGTCCCCGATACGCTTCGGTGCCTTAAAAGAACAACAAACGTTTCCATTCGAGCACGGAGAAAGTGGAAACGTTCGGAAAACGATTCGCACGGATTAAGCCAAGGAACAGACGGTTGCTTCGAGCTGCTCCAAGTGGCATCGGATCGTACCGAATTCCTAAAAGGCACCGGGACAGAAGCTCGAATCGGAATTCGGGTGAATTTTCAATCGGGAACGATTTACCCGGCGGAAAATGACCGGAGCCCCCTTTCACGTACCTCTCGACGAGAGAGCGCTCAAAGGCTGGAAAAGGGCTAATAGCGCGCAAAAGTAACGACGTCTTTAGACCCGCCTACGCATCACCTGCCTAATTCCTTAAAGTGCTCTCGTCTGGCACGCTAAATCACTTTATCACGCGGAGCGGTACACATTCCTTTTCCGAGCATGGACTTCATTCTGAATGGTTAAAACGCGATATAAGAGTCGACGTTGAAAGATCGCCCCTTTCCGAGCCATTAGCGGCGTGCCGCGGCTGCCGTTCGAATGCGGTTCGCCCTTAGAATTTGAACGCTTTCCTAATAACACCGGATCGTGAATCATCCGCGATACGTTCCTTCCGCGGCAAAAATCGAGACGCACGGATCGATTTTTCTTGTTACACGTTTACTGCTATTCACGTACACAGGTTACATAAGCGATCGCTATCGCCGCTGTGCTAATAAGACTCGGTGAACTTTCATGAATTAAAAAGAGGAGCTAAACGTTTCAGTTCACCTCTCGCACCTTGCCGCTTCCATACGCGCTTATTATGCTAAATACCGGAAATACTAGTAGCACCGTGGTTTCTCCGATGCCGGGGCTGGCAACCGTTGAGATGGGCTATCCGCGATAGCCAATGGAACGCATGGAATTCCGCTCTGAGATTAAAATTTGAAGTTTAACAAGTACAAATCTCCGTGTTGCGGTTATCCAACATACGTCGCAACATTGTCGCATCAAAAATTGGTCTATTAAATATAGTTAATTTCCGCATGCATAAACACTCAGTAATGGCATGGATACCGTAGAGAAAACAATCCGATCGATCACGAGCCGATTTCCAGTCGACCTCGTGATCGTGTCGATGATCATCTCCATAATGTTCGTCTTTTTTGTCTCGTTAGATTCGGTCTGATTTATCGTTAACGCTTCTTGTACTACGGAACTAACGATACAGGCTTTCAATTCTGAGTCGTACGCGTAGCCGAATTTGCAGACGCATTCGTAGCCACCCGGCATGTTGAAGCATGTCTCGCCGTCTTCCAAGGAACAATCGTGCAGTTTGCGCGTGCACTCGTTCACGTCGATGCAAAACCCGAACCTGGAGGACCACTCGTAGCCCGTTTCTGGGCAATAGCAGCTGATGTTGATCTGATTAGCTATCAGACTGAGAAAATCGTGATTCTCCTGTCGGTTCAACGTGCACTCTCTGCGCGCTGTCGAATAACAAGAGGACAAAAAATTATTCGACGCGATAAACAATAATCGGCTGCTCAAAGACGACGATTAGTCACGCTCGCGATGACCATACAAAAACGCAACGCGTAAGCAATGAATAAATGATACTCTTCCTAAGGAAATGTCAGATTGACCATAGCATGTTCCGCTGATTCATTCCGCCTGGCCGGCCGGCGTGAGACAAACAAGATGTAAAAAACGGGAGGAACGTTGCATCCGCGGGAATGGCGAGCAAACTGTAAGCTGAACCGGTGAGTCGTTAAGCGAATCGCTTAATTGATAAATATTGCACTGAGAATACTACACGCCGCGATAACTCGTTAACGCGATAACGTGATAACGCGATAACGCGATAACGCGATAACCTGTTTCATGGCTGATGAAACACAATATTCCGGAACGAGATTAGCTGAGAGGCGTTCGGCTCGGAAACGGAAGCGATCCTCTTAGGACAAGAGCGCCAGGCGATACTTCTACGCACATGCTGTGTTCCCAGCGTGGCAAGGGTTCCGCGGCGACTGATAACAATCCGACATGGATCTGATGTGCTTCAACGGGCAGCAATGATCGGGACAGAAACTATAAAGCGCGCAGGCATACGGTTTCGCGTCGTCGGCTCGGGGATCACCGTTCCCACCGTCGACCTCGCAGTTGGCGTGATTGTCGCAGGATTCTCCGAAGATACTTAGCTCCGGCACACCGAGCATCGTGTACCAGCACATGTAGTAGCTGACCGTGGTGCGCCATTGGAATCGTTCTAAACGCAACACGTAATTAGAGCCTATGCGCACGAACAACGCGATCGGTTGACGCTGGCTGTTTTACGTATATATGCCACATATAGAGCAAATTTTATGTTACACAATATACAAAATTTGAAAAACAGGAAATACATATATTTGTCGTCTTTGTCGCGATCCGTTGCTAATCGGGCGGTGTCGCTGGCAATCTTCGCGCGATTGACAAAACAACGGATCACGACAAGGATGAGAAATACATGAATTTTCTTTTTTTAATTGTGTATCGTTCAGCTTAGAAGTATCGACGACTGACAAAACAGTAACAGAACTCGACAAGGATAACAAATACATGTATTTCCTTTTTTTAATTGTGTATCGTTCGGCTTAGTAGTGTTGACACAAGGGGACCATTCCAGTCCCGACACTCGGGCCGCCATCGTCGTTGACGCATGGTTGGTATTGGCTCGCGACAGTAACACAGGACGGAAGCAGGATGGAATACGACAGAGTGAGATGTAACGATAGAAAACAAAATTCTCTATAGTTCCTTCTCATTCTGTCACATACGGTCTCGCCTCCGTCCTTTGTTACGCCGTGCGCCGAAGACGATGGCGGCTCGAGCATCGGGACTGCAAGAGTCGCGTTGTCTCCCTGACTTCTCGTCTTCACGGGGAGCCGCCAACACTTCTAAGTCGGAGGATACATTGTGTAAGATGAAACTTACTCTGTACATATGGTGCATATACGTAAAATCGCCAACGTCACCGCCACGAGATCGCAGCGTGATCGCGTCGCTCGTGTGCATAGGCCCGAAGGAAGCGAAGCAATTCGCGATTGTGACGGGAAAGTCGTATAGCAGCGGAACGGATGTTCCGCTCGGGGTATCGATTCTTAACTTTCCTTTCATCTTTCTTCCTTTCGCTCTTTCTTGATTAGAAGATTCCCAGAAGAGATACGGGCACTTGCCTATTGGACCCTGAAAGGGAACCGCGGTTAGCTTGTCACGCCTCTGCGCCGCCTGACAGTCCCTTTGAACAGCCAGGACCTGCTTAGTATTGCGCGCGAGATTCCAATTCTGCTCTTTCATGATCGTGACGGTGTCGTCCTCCCGCCTGAGGGCTGCGAGTTTAACGTTTCTTTCGAGATACCTCAGGCACTCGGCGAAGCTTGCCTCGCAATGTCTACGCACACAATTATCGATTTCTGCGTCGTCGGCATTGAAATTCGTATCGTTCCCGTTTCCCCCGGTTCGTTCCCCGATTTGCATTTCCGAGCACCGTCGAGGAAGAATCGCGCATCTTAGGATACGCGTCCGCGAGACGATCACGCAACCGTCACGAAGAAAGCATAGTAATCCAATCTAGTTTCAGTCGAGATTTCAATAACTATGAGCGATCTCCCGCTGTGATGATTCATAACTGTTACAATGCATCGATTAAATCACGAAGGAACTCGATTTACACTGTTCAACGATGAAACGCAACTCTTACCGAAACTCAAGCCGAAATAGAACGCGAGTAAAGCGGGAGCGCTTCTTTTCCCATAGAATCGTTCAACCCGCAATCATTGCAAGGAATTCGATTAAAGGGTCTAAACAAATAACGAGTCCCGTTTTTGCACGGAAATGAAGGTAAACCGGCGAATCATCGCGTCGCTACTGCATTTATGAAATAATAGTAAGACGACAAAGGATGCGGATCGAGCTTGCGGAGGAAGCGATGCTACCTGCGCACTTCCCAATGCAAAGATCTCAAAGGCCGCTTCGGGAACTCCTCGTAAAGCCTGCTCGGCGAGTCCTCGAGCCTCCGGTAATAACGGCGATCGAAGTCCTGGAATTTGTGAGCTCGGATGTAATACGCGACGTCTCGGATAACCTTGTTCGCGTCCCAGTTCGCGTCCCAGTCATCCTCGGTCTCATCCACGTCCGGCACGATGGTTATTTTTACGTTGGGATCCATAACCTGTTCCGTCATCGGCACGGACTCGATCATGGCTTCCTCTTCCTGCTCCTCCCCCTCTGCGCCCTCGGTGTTCTCTTCGGTAGCGCCTGTCGCGGTACTCGCAACCGTCGAGTCCACGTTCTGCGCCGAGCAAGATATCCTTACCGCGTACAAATGGAACGCCACGTACAACACAGCGTACCGCCTCATTATTCGCGACTCCCGTGTCAATTCGATTCTGTACTGTTTGTCGCGCGCTGATCGATCCCGAGGAAAGAGATGCAACCCGAAACTCCCCGGCGGATGTTGATCGCGCGCGTTCAGGGAAACAATAATGGACACCGACGCGAGACCGTGGCGGAGTTGGCGGAAGAGGGAATCCGGATCCCGACGCCGCGCCTGGTCTCGATTTCTAAAACGGATCGAAAATATCGAAGTTGCGAGTCGACAGCCGGGGATCCCATCTGGTCGAGTCTCGTTCGACATCGCAGGGGTGGTCGGTTCTTCTTGTGGACGTATTTCGTTCTTTTCTCAGATTGCCGAGCAAATGTTGACCCAGTTTCGGCTTCGGATTGGACGTTACTCGCTCTTCCGAAACTGCTGACTGGAATACGCGATCAGCGCGAGAAGCCAGGATGGTTGTTACGCGGCGTCTTTCTCCCATGGGGAGTGAGAGCATCGACCGCTTCAACATTCATGCTGGGAATACAATTGACGAATCCCGAACGCTCCCCCTGCAAGTCCAGCTCTTTTTCCTCTTCTTTGGTTTCGCGGCCCGGGCAGAGCTAAACCGCGTCAACCTGTTGGCGATACACTTCGACTACCGAGTCTACGGGAATGGTTCTACCGTTTCGAGCGAGTTACAGGGATAATTTCGTATCGCTGCGAAACAATCGTTGCATACGAACGCAGCCTGTTCCTTCGAACACCGCGGGGGAACCTGTTCGTACGTGTATCCCGTAGTGCTTACGCTCGCCGCAACAACGTTGAATTGCTCTTTAATCGGTAATTTCGACTAAAATTGAAACGGACAGAGCAATGGGAAGAAGGTACCGTTTCTACGTAGAAATCAGTCTAATGAGACTGAGCGAAACCGCACCGTTCGCGAGGTACCTGCTCCCGTCGCGAGACAGAGGACGACCGTAAAGCATGGGAAACGGTTTATCGCTGCATAAAACTCTCCGCGCTTTCGTCGCGATTTTCACCGACGGAAGATTCGCTTCTCAAACGTCGGTGTCGCGTAAGGAGCTGACGCAACACGTTTCATTTAAAACGATAACATCTCGCGTAGGAGATGGAAGTTAATCAGGGTTGAGTATAATCGGAGATCGCAAAAAGGCAGAAACGAAAGAGATCTGTTCGAATGTTTAACAGAAATAAAAATAGCGGAACGAACGTACAACCGGTCGTCGCAACGGCGAAATCCATTTGACGATTGGGAGCTGCCGCGCGCTTTTGATCCATTCCACTCCGCGCGGACAGCGAACAGTACGAGTGCGCCCATTTTCGTTAAACCTAAGCTCGCACGGACTCTCGCGCGTCCGAAGAAATTCTCGCAAAAACTTTCCGACCCCGGAGGAACAGGGGAAGCAAGTTTGAAAAGAAATGCGTGCTATTTAAACTGACCCCGACTGGAAGAATATCTTTTTCTCGAGAAAATTTTCGACGGAAGGCAGGAACGAAACTGAAATCGTAAAGATAGGGAGCTGAGGAATTCAGGTTTCCCTGAGAACGATGTTCCCGTCTTTAGTGAAATTTCGAAATTAGCCGCGACGCTTCTGACGAATGTTCGGGAATAATTCCGAGCGAGGTTCGCTCGGTCGGGACTGGAAAACAGATGGAAAATACGAGAAACGTGTCACGTAGATCCAGATAACAGCGATGTAACACATTTGGAAGATGACACGGGTGTACATCCTGGATGAAGAAGCCCGAGTTACCGGGAGGTTTTGTATTTTTCATACCTTTCCCGTCGAAACGCGATAAATTGGGAAAGGATTCATTTCACGTTGGCAACGGTCGTTTGTTCGTTTAATGCGATTCGTTCATGTTCCCGACGATCATCCGCAATTATATAAGTAAAATCGACGTTAGAACGATTGCATCGGAGCCCGAGGTGGTAATAATAAATAATCGTGACTGCGAGGGGAAGAGGGGAGCAGCGCGTTACTTTGATACGTACAAATGGACGTTGGAATCACCGTATCGATCGCCGGCCGACACATTTCCGTGGGAAGCTACATAGATCAACCGGATATCTGAATCCATGCGGCTGGCGAGTCGTTGGAACGACTCCGAGCGGAAATTTTGAAAACGCGCTCCAACTCTAATCCGTTTTAAAGGATCCCAGCCGCGTATCGGTATACCAGGCATTGACTTTCAAATCGGTCGATAAAAATTCGGACGAGTTTCTCCGCGTAAATACGACTTCGCTTTCCTCGACGTTATTTCCGAAACTTTTTAAATATCTGAATTTCCGATTCGAAATCGCGGTTAAAGAACTCGAAAATGGTAGGGCGGCCGAAGGGAACAGGGACACGGCGAGGATTTCGCTGCCGGTTCGAAACCGAATATTCGTTTTACAGCGAGCGATGGTTCAGTTTGAATTTCAATTACATTACGATAAGGTGTAATTAACGGTGAAACGACTTTGAACGTGGATAACCCGCGTTACGATCACGCGAAGTGTCGGGAAATATTTGATTCCGACGATCTTTGAGATAGTAGGTGTGCACGAGATCAAGCCTCGTCGCGTTTGCGGCATGCACACGCTCGTTTCTGCTAAGATCGTAGGCACGATTATGCATTGTGTGCCGAGGTAGTTGTTCGCGCATAATACCCTCTCAAATATCCTCGTCCCCGGAGCGTCGGCGACGATCTCGAGCTCGCTCGACATATGCCCCGTCTTTCTTTTCTCCGCCTGCGCCTCGAGACGATATCACTGCTCTCGAGAGTGTCTGTCCGCCGGTACGTGATTACACGTTAAAACGAATTCCTCGGCTTTCAATTAATTCAACGAGCAATTAGGCTCCCCGAGGAGCGGCACTTTCGAGCGAAGATGTCCCCCGTGAAATTCCTCGGCGCCGGCCGACGCAGCTTCGCTCCTTACGGCCGGAGGTAGCTCGCGAGATTTTTTCAAACGGTCCTTTCATCCGGCGACGCGATGCAAATGTCGCGAGAGATGCTCGAGCTGCGCGAATCGCCGTCCGCGGCTCTTAGGAGCCGAAGAGTCCGTCCGGAAGGAACAACGAGCCTTCGAAGCACGCGCCGAGAGGTATCGTCGCGTATCGAATTAAGGATCCTCCGATAAAAATGTGGAAGAGAGGCGAGGGCCGCGCTGCCCCGCGATAGACTGAATTAGTTGAAAGGCAAAGGCCTCTTTAAAGCGACCTCCTCGGCACAAGTCCGCCGATAAGTAACGGCGAAAGCCGCGCGGAAGAACGTCGGACGGAAAAAGCGCGAAAGCCCGGGAACTTTAATTGCTTTCGAATATCGAGGAGCGTCGCGAGACGTCCTTTAATTTGAAAGTCAATTGTGAAACGTGAAAGGCGCGAGCAATCCCGGGTATTATTTATTCGAGCTCCGCGCGAGAGCGATCGAGAAAGCGTCTTTCGCGTCCTCGTAACTTTGAGGAAGAGCCACGTGGAAACATTGATCCGCGATATATATAGATAGATAGATAGATAGATAGATAGATAGACATATATATGCACCTACAGTTTAGACGAACGTTGTTTTCAACGACCGTTTCGAGTGGCAAATCTGTTCGAGTAGTTCATCTACAACTTCTACCGAAACCTTCCCTTCTAACATCGTTGAATAGGAACCCTCAACGTTTCACGTTTCATGTTCGGATATCTTAAAGAAGCTTACAGTTTAGGCAAACGGGAATTACTCGGAAGAGCTATTCCTAACGGAGGAAGGGTGTTAAGGAGTTGCGGGCAAATCTGTTATTATCATTATCGATTATCGTTTTTATTAATTGCGATAATCGTACCCGCGGCGGTTTCCCCTTCTCGCCGGCGTCGCGGCGCGAATGGCAAAACCAAAGACGCAGTTGTCGTCGGTACGGCTGAAACCGCCGCGGGCTTAGCCGAAGAAAAAACAAGGAACACCGATAGTCCCATTATCGGGAAAACTTCTCACTCGTCGAATAATCCTGCGCTGGCGTTGAAGGGAAATCCACGCTTGAACGGTCTTAACGCGCGAGAATGAGTCGTTGCTTTTAACTCATTCCGATTAACGCCGGCGGAATGCATTCGGTCTCCACGAGCGGGAACGAACCGATTCACCGGATGGTTCGTGGAAATATTTTCGAGCGCGATACGAACGGATACGTCGTTACGTTTGACACCGACCGACAGTTTCTACCGATGAATTTTTAATTGTCCTCTTCGATCTCTCGCGCGCCCTAGATTTCGCGGAGGGCGAGCGCGCGAGAAAATTGCTTCGGAACCGGGTCCGACTCGGGAGACGGAGTGCGGGAGTTTTCATGAAAGATGGCCATAACAGTAACGAGGGCTTTGCCGCGTTAAGTATGGAATTTAGTTTCGAAACTCCCTTACTGTACGCGCAATAAAATCAAATAACGAAGTGTATACTTGTCAAATGCAGGTCAAATGCACCTAAGGTGGAGTGGGGTAAGTGCATAAACGGGATAAGCGGATAAACGAGCTCTTATTAATATAATATGAAAGAAATTGCAATATCTAGTATGCAGTGATCTACTCAAAGTTAATACCATCCTATCCACGTAGATGCCCAATTAATGAGGGGAATTCCCGATTTATGCCAACCAGTTCGAAAGTACCACATGTAAAGAGCACGTCTACTTTGAGGTTATCATAAATGTGCTGTAGTTTTCAAGGAAACTGTGTGTTCTGTGTTATTATTTTTGGTAAGTAATAAATAATATTGTTTATATTTCACTTTAAATAAATAATTTCCGTTGAATTATTGAAATTTATTGAGAAAAACAGTAGTGTGCTCTTACCTCGTAAATATTGAGACAAGGGGCAAGTGCATCCCTTGCGGTGGGATAAGAGCATATGGCTGTGCACATGCCCCAGAAAACGTCCTGCTTGATTATTTCTTGTTTTACATCTCTGAATAATATACTTATAGTAATTAGCTACGTTGAATAAGTACGTTTCACTAATTCCTTTATATTTATTTATTTATTTTATTTATTTGCTTTACTCCAAAACGAA